ACACTGGCTCTTTTGCTATTCCAAACACATCGGGTAGTTTGCTGGGGCCTTGACAGCAAGGGCTCTGCATTGTTATTCTTCTTCCACTCTAGGAGTTTGAAATAGAAGAGGCCAAGTCTGATTTGGGGATGTCTATCCTTGTCCAGAGGTAAATTAGTGTTTATGGTTGTATACATGCCCTTGTTTCTCTGGCAAATTCCAACTTCCTACTGAGAAATGGCACGAGGCTGGTGCTCAGCGCTTTCCCTGTGTGTGAGGCATCTGTGTGTGAGGTTGAAGGGGTCTCTTGGGGACTTCGCAACAGAGGTTCCATATGTGGGACATTGCACTGGCTCCCGCTCAATCTCTCCAACACCCTGGATAGTTCATGCCACAGTTTCTTGTCGCTAGGAGAGCCTTTCTCAGGGATTGACCTCTTAGGAGGGCCATCTGTCCAGGCAGCCCGACGCCAGCGACCTCCTTCATGTCAAACCAGATCCAGTCCTCTTTGCCAGGTAAATGATGGCATCACAGGCTGCTGCACAGCTGTGCCCTTGATGTGCGCATTTCCTTGCACATAGGAAGGTTAAGAAGTTGCATCCCTGTCTCAACCCTGCTATTTACCCCGGATTCTCTTGGAGCATCTTATTCTTGGCTTTGTGGAGACTACAAACACCTGTCCCTCATCCTCCACCAGACTGAAGAAGGTGGGTGGGGAAGGTGGACATGACAAAGGGAGTGGGGAGCTTTGGGGAAGGTAAGAAAGCAGAGTCCTTGGGTGAACCTTATGAGCCTCCAGCAAGGGGTGGCTTTTCTGTATATGAGGTGCTTCATACCTTCCTCTTAAGCTGGCTTGCAGTCCTCCCATGCCAGGAATTCAGGAGAATTTTTGTAGATTTGTTCAGACCAAAAAGGTGAGAAGGTAGGTAGTTATGGTGGAGTGAGAAGCTAAGTTTGATACAGGAAAATGTCATCTCTGGTCAAAGAATGACTACATGTTGGCTAGACTTGTTAACTGGGGAAGAAGCAGCCAATTAAGCAGGGATATTTTAATGTGGCCTGAAATGTAATTTTCTTAGTAAAGTGGGAGCAAATTTTAGGCTAAAAATTCATGGCTAAAAATTCTTTCCAAGATTTTTTGAGCTCACGCATTTTTATTTTTGATTTTTTTTCTCAGAAAATAATGTATGCTTATTTAAAAAAAAAATAATGCATGCTTTTGACAGAAAAGCCAAACTTGGGAAAATGCAGAAAAGTTTCTCTAAGAAAACAAAAAAATGGTTTGCAATTGCATGACTGAGGGATAATCAAGTTTGGTGGGAGACAGAATTCTGATTTAGTACCACTTAGGTTTACATCATAAAAGAAAGATTACACTTCATCTTGATTTTACTTTTATTTTCTGGGTTGGAAAATTGTACAGAGGACGCAGGAGGTAACAAGATTTGGAATTTGGAATTTATCAAAAATCATTAGAGCCCTGAGAAAACAGAAAGCTTTAAATAAGTTCACTGTAGTGATGAGAAATATTTATCCATGGGAAGAAACTCCCAAGGCCGTTTGCTCTCCTTCACGAATGCCCATGGCTGCTGGCTGATCAATGCGTTTAGTGTCAGCATGTTTTATGCATGGCCCCTGAGGTTTCAGGAGGGCTCTGGCTGCCTGAGAAGCCCCCTCAGGAGGGGCCATGCATAGGGGTAGAAGCAGCAGCCTCAGGACAGAAGAGACACCGATGAACCTTTTGGAATATGAGCTTCCTAGGATGTGGGGATTTCAGGATGTAAAAGTCCCAGCATCTGCTCTGTCTGATAGAAAAACAGAGGCTTGAACAGAGCAGTATTTTTGGGGAGATAGGACTTGAGGTGTTGGGGACTGGGGTGCAGTCAAGGAACAAAGAGGCCCCCACGAAGACTTCCCCAGGTGGAGGGAGGATGTCTCATTTTATTTAATTTGTCAGGGAGAGGATGAAGGCCACTGGCACTTTGGCACCTCGTGGTCTTTTTTTTTCTTTCTTCTTTTCATTTTATTTATTTATTTATGTATGTAAGAACTGGGGTGTAGGCCAGAGGTGGGAGGGGGTGAGAGGACTCACCAAAGTCAATGTGGGGAGCAGAACAGGCGGCTCTACTGAAATACACTGTTGGGGAGCAGCCGGGAGACAGAGGTCTGCTGTGCCATGTGGGTCAGCTCCCTGGCCAGGATGAACTCAGGCTGCAGGTCTTCCTGTGTTCCTCTTCAAAACCAAACCAAAAAGAAAAACTTGCTGAGTTCTTTACGGTCAGAGCAGTGGCAAGAAGGACTCAGATGCTCCTGCAGTCACACATCTGGGCTTGCCCTGTGTTCTGGTAACAACACAGTGGCTGTTCCCTGGGAAAGCCACATAATCTTTAGTTTCCTTATCTATAAAATGGGCAAGATGATGCTTATCTCAAAGGTTGTTTAGGAAACAAAATAAGATATTTGACAAGTACTTGGCACAGGCTGACAGACTGGTATGCATTAGGATTCCTGTTAAAAACTGTTCCTTTGGAAACCATGTGTTGTGTCCTCCATGAGATAATGAAGATCATCACATTTATTAGGGGAAATCCCACAAATTGGGTGTGGGTGGGGGAGGGGCTCAGGAATGCAGAGTCTCCTGGCCCAGGGACAGGGAGATGCTCCTGGCCCAGTTATCTGGGTGGATGGGAAGAGGAGTACGGTGGGCCTGGAGGAGGATGCCATTCTTGAGGAGCACTCAAGATAACAAGTTGGTAAATACAGTCACTGAGGGAAAGGTTGGTATCCCTTGAGATTTGGAGGGAGACGGATGAGAAGGGAGAACAAGCTGGAGTCAGACTGGCCAGCCGCCTCAGAGGTTTAGACAAATTCAGCTCAACTCTACCAGGATTGTAAAGGAGATCCTATTTATTTTATAATTAATGTGGGGTAAGAGGAATGCTTTCTTCCACTTTGGCATGAGGTTCTGGAATGTCCAGTTATACCCCTGGTATGCTCTCAAAAGATTTCATATCTGAATCTTCTGCTGTTGTGTCACTGGTAAGTCTGGAAGGGGGCAAAGGCCAGACCATTTTTGATAACAATGAAAATCCTTAGATTTAAATAATGTGACATGAAGTGAAGAGCGTTGTTTAATGCTTGGCAGAGCTATGAACGCCTGAGGCAGAGCCCCGAAGGAAAACTACTTTTCAAAGCTTTCTCAGAACATATCTTAAGAGAATCGCTGGCTAATGCAGACACATGTCCAAACAAGTACTGGTTTGTTCCGTGAGTGCACACAACTGGCAAGTCTCACTTGGTGTGAAGAGAGCAGAGCAATGCTTCATTTTAATGCGGGACCTTGGGGCCTCTCATGGACACTGTGTTGTATGTTCCTTGTGTTTTCTTGGAACATGGACAGATTGCGCTCAAGGAGAACAAAAGGCCACCAGAAAGGACTCAGTTCCTGAAACCTTTGGGACTTTAAAAGTTCAGACAACTTAATGACATATAAATGATTCACAGAAATATTCCCAAAGTTCCTTGAGTAAAGCATTTCCCATCCCATAGGTAAGCAAGTCAGAGTGCAAAGTAAGGAGATGGTATTTTGAGAGAGGAGGGAAAGGATGGGATTTGATTTTGAACCATTGTTATGCAGAGTTCCAGCTCTGTTGTAAGTCTGTAGTATGCCTGGAACCACTGAGCAGCGCTGACTCTTCAGCAAGACAAGAGTCCTCTGAAATTCAAGTTCAAGTGTACGAAGCACACACATTCGTTTTAGAGACAATAATAATTTCACAGTCACACCTCACCAGTGAGTCCTGATGCTTTGGACCTTTTCTATCACAGAAGGTTAAAAGGTAACAAGGTGGTGGGGCGTGAGGGAGGGACTCTAGAAAGTGAGTGGGAAAAAAGTCCCCTTCCTTGTAAACAGTTTCATTGAGATGAAGTGACAGAGGGGGTGAACATGACCGCATGTTTGTTCCTTATCTCTAGTCTAGGGCTGTGACTTCCTAAATACAAATTTCCTTTCTTCTCAGATGTGGGGCACTATGTGACCCATTATACAAAGTATGTGAAGCCCTGGACTGACCTTTATTTTATATTTCTCGGCTGGCTCAAGCAAATTGCTCTGTGGAGACTGGCCCTCCCCAGCATGTTGGGGTTTTGGAGGAACTGAGTACAGTTTGGAAGAAAGTTATCCAGTCCTTCAGGCTGAAAGGAGGTGATGGTGGCCCAGAAGCCAGATCAGGAGAGCAGCAAAAGGCAGACATTTGGCAGGAAGGGGATTCTGTGTATGCTAATATATCAGAGGACTTGGAATAATCAAGAGAAATAAGAAATCCTCTATCTCAAAATAAATAATTTAGAAATGTGAAAACATGATAAGAAATGAAATTCATATGAAATAAATGCATCAGGCAAAATCTCTTTTACCAGCTAAACCTGGCATCTCATACATGGGACTTCTTTGTGCTCGACAGACCCAACAGAGATTTCTTGTGATTTATTTACTCCAGTTTTTAAAAACAAAACCATTAAATGCATTTTAGTCACAAGAGCTAATTCTGGAATAGGTCCTAGTCTGAGTCAGGAAAATGCACATTTTCATTTGTTTCCTATGAGGTTGAAAGTCCTACTGCTTGAAGAGAGGTCGTTTCTTCTGTCCTCATCTGGGTTTGCTGTGACTCCCCCATCCCCTAACTAAAGCAACAACAACAACAAAAATCCTAAGCAAAAAGCCCTTAAGCTATAAAATGTATGTCCAAGAAAAACATTTAGCTTGAAAAAGAGTTGAAAAATGTAGCCTTGGAAGAACCACTGCTTACATGGGATTGTTCAACAAATTCCTGTTGTGTGAGGTTTGGCATATACTTTCTAAAAATATAAGCATCTGGGGAAATGAGACAAAGCCCAGGTCTTGGACCAAGTGAGGCACGCAGTGTGAATCTGTTAGTGATTATAGCCATAATGAAATATGTGCCCAAAATTAGCAGCGCAAAACTTAATACAATACGAAAGCCCGCAGGCAGCGTCCTTACCATAATATATAGCCCACAGAGAAGGTCCATGTGGCGGCCAGTCCGCTGCTTCTGCTGGGATAGGCATGCTGGGATGTCCTCATCTCGATCAGTATAAAGGGCAGAACTGTCGTGTGCTGAAAAAGAACACAGATCAGGTGACACAGAGATTCTCATCTCCATCCCTTGACAGTTGTTCTTGTTCCAACAGGCGGATGGGTGGAGCCAGTTCCTAGCAGCGCAGGACTGGACATTAAACGCACGCAGCGCGTCTGCAGTTCTATTGGTAGTTTCCTTCTGTATCTTAATTTTTGAAATTTTATTTGATATACGATGGTTACAAGAAATTTGGGGAATCTAGGAAGATACCTAGCAAAAGAAATTGGAACACAAGAAAGGAATAAAAATAACGATGGTTAACGTTTTGTTACACACCCTTCCACCTGTTTACATTATTTCTATATAGTTAGGCTCATACGGTGCATGAAGTTTTGCTTTGGGTTGCTGTATGAGAAATTTATTTTTAAATAAATCTGCTACCTATTTATTTATTTTAAGGAAGTATCAATTTTTACAACCTTGTTGATTTTTTCACAATATAGGATTTCTCACCTCATCGATATGAGAAATTTTGATAGCCATGTTAGAAATCCTTCTAGAATATCACCCCAATACCCTAACTGCTTAAAAGTGCATTTTATGGAGTTATCAAAGTTAATTTAAGTGGTTCCTATTCTTGTATATTAATTAGTAAAAGATTTTTTATTTTTCTTTTACTAAAAATGTCATGATGTCTTTTGTAGAAGTCTTTGAATGTTAAATGATTTATTTGTTCTCAAAGGTTATGAAGATTTTATGACAATTGAAACATAATGCTAAATTAAGTGTGTACCAGCAGCAGGTTAGGGAAAAAATGCCAAATTAACTTCTAGAAAAGTTCTGGGAGTTTGTAATAGCAATGCATGGACTTAGATATGATGTTTGTAGCCAGACTCCAAGACACTGGGGGAATATTCCCAATAATATTTTGGACACAGTGGTCATTCTAGGTACTCACATCAGTGGTCAATGATCAGGATGAAATTTATATTACCACATGGTAAGAGGGAAGGAATGTCAAGTACTTTTGGTGTGAAATTTGCTGGACAGGTTATAAGGGACAAAGAGCTTCTTCTGTCACCCAGGGTCAGGCTAAAGATTGCCTCTCAGTGTTGGAGCGGTTCCCAAAAGTAAGAAGATGGCAGAAATGAAAAGTGAACCATAGCCAATTTGAATCCTCCTCAGTGGCCATGAAGGAATCCTGGTTCTGCACTTGCTATATTGTTTGCAGATTCAAGGGAAAGGCAGGGAATTTAATGTTATAATTTTAAACTTGAATGTGTTGTAGCAAAATGGAATCAGGTAGCAGATAGGTCTTGGCAGGAAAAGACATGGTGGTGAGGGGGGGAGGAGATCGAAGTGAACACTGTGAAGCAGCTCTTATTGATTTGCTAAGAAATAGTAGGACAGTGGGAGTTCTTTGCTTAAATGTTCTCTTCTGGATCAGAAGAACTTTCTCTGATTATCAATATATTAGTAGTATTTCCAGAATGTCAGGGGGGTGATTCTATATTTAGGTAGCTTTATACTCTGTTATCTCTTGCTTCTGTTTTTGTCTTAATACAGTTTAATTAGCTCTGAAGGGAACCATATAACACGTACACTTGTGCCAATGCAAAGACAGTATGCAATTTAAAGATACACTTTAGATATTTTTTTCCCAGTAAAATCTAGTCAGTTCAGAAGACACTGGCTTATGTTCCACCAACAATTTGCGATGCCAACAAAAGCTTTACAATAATGCATTCACGCAAAATTCAAACACACAGCTAGCCATGAGGCCAAATCATCAAATCTTACATAGAAGAACAACCCCTGTTCATCACATACAGCTAATGATGAACTCTGATGGCCTGTGTGAGTTACAGAATGATGCCAAGGTAACTTTTGACTTGTCAATATTTAAAAATGCCTGAAATCTACCTTTTCTCAGAGTAGACAATCATCTCTTTTTTAAATAAAGTTATGTAAGTCCAACTAACTATTCTGAATGCTCTTAGTCAATCATCATTCTTTCACGTAGCTTACTTGCTGATTATCACATGTGATATCTGAAAGAGTTAGGATGTAATTAACTGATGCTAGACAGAAAATCTCTTTGAAAAAGGATCTTTCTAGATCACTTAATCATCGGCGACATCACCATTAAAAAGGACCTACTTGTTCTTCCAGGGG